CGCCTTAGAGTTTCCATCTCTATAATTGCTCTATTCTTAATACTGCCATGTGCGAACCAATGTCCACTCAGTGCTTTTCATCTGATCTAATCCTGTCTCCTTTAGATCCATTTTACTTCCATTCACAAATTTAGTCTTTACGAATTTTCCTAAGAAAGCCTGAGCTAGTTGTTCTTTTTTGCTAAATGCCAAATTTCATTAAAGCAGCACAAACAAAGTACAATTAACAAACCATTACAACTGGATCAAGATTGTGTATCCACCGATTACAGTTCTAATAGCTCACCAGGCCACTCTATGAGCACACACATTTTTGTCCCCACAAAGCCACTTTGAACCAGTAAAAGCACTGAATAAATCTTTAGCCTCTGCTATTACAGATTGAGAATCAGTTCTCACCACTACCTCCTTAATGTCCTGGGTAAAAAAGATAGTCTCAAAGTAAGCTTCAGCTCTCAGCCTTCAGCCTCAGCAATTAAACCCGTTCTTCCCCTTTCTTTGCTCCACATCCACTAGAATTGCAAAATCCAGTGCCAAAAGGACCAATAAAGTGGAACAACACAAACTTCATCCCGCTGCTTCCCCCAATAATACCAGCATTTTATATTTTTATCTTTTTCTTCCTATCTTTGCATTCTCATCAAGCAAATCATTAGGGAAATGTGGTTACAACCATGGGCCTAATATTCCTCAATGAACAGATGAAAAACAAGGAGATGAAACTCTAACAGCTGAATTTAACCTCTTTCTAGGTCAATCGATGTCCTGAGGTTTAGCAAATAGCTAAAACCAAGTACGCAGTTAAGAAAATTAGCAAAAGAAATAGAATCACATGATCTAGCAGAGACTCAATCATAAAATGGGTTACATGATTAATTCAGCTCTCTCTAGAAAGCCAGTGATGGTATATCAAGCATTGAAATTTAGAGTACAACATGGACTCTTAACTTGAAGACTGATAGCTAGCTTTTCTAGAGTTGGCTAAGCAGGCTCTTTATTTTCTTCCTTTCAATGCATTAGCCATTAGCCAGTTGTATCTAAAAGAAAAGCCAGTTCCTATAGACATTGCAATACATATATAGTCCAACAAAATGTCTTAATCTTGCGACGAGGTTCAGACAATGATCGTGATGAACCAAATTAAATATTTATCATACCTAACCTACAGACATTTCAAAGTTAGTGTCTCTAAATAAACTTTTGTAATAGAAAATATAGTGAATGCTCTAGCTCATAAATATAGTGAATGCACTAGCTCATAGTTCGCTGAGAATTCCCTTTTCCTAGACGACTTCATGAGCTCATTATTTGACTAACAACTTCATGAATGTTTTTCAAAGGATTACAAACCGTTGCTACAGAGCTAGCATTTTGGGGTGCTAAATCCATCAAAGGAATCAATTCGAGAAATCGCACTAACTTTTTCATGATGGCAAGAATAGACTACAAATTATGTTTAGCCAAAAATTATTGGAACAAATAAATTCATGCACATGATTTTTGTCAAAAAGATTTTGGCATATATCTTCCAGCGTTTCTCTTAATTAACTGAATATCTTATATCTGTGTATTCTTCATCACACATAAGCTAACAATAACATGAAATCTGCTCATGTAAGCAATAGAGGAAAAATAACAATTGTTATCTTATTATATAACTTTTTTGAGATATTTTTACAAAATTTTTTAGATATTATCTTATTGTATAACTAAAACCATTTTCATGATAACGTATTCTTTGACATTTTCCCATAAACTTGAGGTGAAAATCACACAGCTTATGCACCCTGACCTTTTCTGCCACCATAGTGAGGAGCAGTGTCCCAAAATTCATCACGCATCTGCAAAAGTTGAGACTTTGTTATTGGCTGGGGATGCTTCCAAGACTTTGGCTTTCGAATCTTTTTCACTTTTCCTGTAAGAAGCAGTAAGTTTCAAGTATCTTGTTCATAAATCATTAAGTTAAAACCAACTATGACAATCTAATAATATTGCTTAGACTTCAAGAAAGTGAATAAGAGCAAAGCTATTTAATGCACCCCTATTACAAAAGATGTCTACCGTACAGTATGGAAAGAAAAACTGGGAAATTTAACAGTTTCTCAATGGCTTATCCGGTAGGACAAAAGATGGTAAGGCCTGATGCAAGTAATGCCCAGTAGATACTTTGATAATAGGAGAGATGGCATTTCAATCCAAACTTGTCAATATGCAAAAAGCATACATGTTCACAAGCACAGGTTGAAGAGAGAAACAACCACATTGTAACTTCTAAAGTTCTTCATAGTGAATTCTGATTCATACCTCCAGCGGAGCAAGTCAATTTAATTGAACCATATAGTTCCATGTCACTTTACTTTTCTACTTTGATTTTCTTGTTTAATTTATCCCATTGCTGACAGTTCTTGTGCATGTACATACACAATCATCATAGATACACAGATACACACATACACTCCAATTATATCGTGCTATTCCAACCGAAAATTGTAATAGGTAAATTTCTTTTTTGAGATAAAAAATGTAGATAAATAGCAGAGACATTTCAGAAGCATGAACAGACTAAATATGCCTGTACATATGTATGTATATTATGTGAACGCACCTACATGTATATATATATATATGTCAATATATAAACATATTGCTAGTATTGAACCTTAACAGTCTAAGGTCAGATGAGTTTTAACAAAATAATTAATGAAATAGGGAATAGAAAAAATTCTTAACTTGTGCAGCCACTCTAATGAGAATAAAAGAGAGAATCAATAAACAAAGAGCAGCACCAAAAGGAAAGAAAAAAAAAAGAGCCTGGGTGCTAAAATTTTAGTGAATCAGTAAACATTACAAAAAAAAGTATCAGAATTCAAAAAGGTAACGGAAAAGAAGGGAGAAAATACTTCCAACGGAATACTTCAATTATCCAGCCAGAAGAGTCACTACCTTTCCACCTAAATGCACCAAAGCAAGATCATGTAATCGTAAACTAACATTGAAAGTGTACTTATTAGATCAGGACACATCAACTTCCAAGAGAAAAGTTGCAAATTCATCTCTTAAATTCACTATGACAGATAAACATAAAGTTGCATCAAAAACTGAAGCCAAAAATTGGTACTACAACACATTTGTATTTCTCATTCTTTCCCCCTTCTCCCATAACAACATGATAGCAAGCAGTAGCTAAAAGCTAAAAAATGAAAGAGAATGGTATTTTCATCTTTTTTATTTCAGCACTTTCCAAATGTTAATGAAATAGGCCCCTCACTATCACAAAAAAAATAACGTAGACTGCTCAAAGTCATACAGATAACATATTTGAATCACAAACAAACTTAAATAGGGGAAAGAAAAAAGGAAGAGAAATGCTTAAAGGCTAGAAGTACACAAGGAAAAAATAATAAACTCAAATCCGAACACATCATGCAAGCTCCGTCACATGAAATCATATATATGGTGATCTAACTAGCGATTCTTTACATCCATGGAAATTTAAGTCACTTGTATGGTTTTGTTTATTCAGGCAACGAAATGTTTCCCAAAACTGGCAGGAAGATGCCAATAATTAGACTAAGGTTATGTTACTGAACTTTTATGTCAGCATCTAAGTTGCTTGTTTTAACGTTTCAATTCATAAAATTATGTGCATCAATATGATATAAATCTATTAAGATAAACAAGCATCAGACAATGAAGTATTTTCAAATTTAGCTCAATTGAGAAAGTAGTAATCTTGATTTTAATGCAATAAAGAGGGCGAGGTGCCAAAATCCACGGAATTGATTCTCAGCCTAAATTTCACCTGATTTAAATTATGAGTAAATTCTTCACAGATTTCCATCATGAAGCTCAAGCAAGCAGTTTAACCTCAAATGAGTAAGAACCTCCATTGAAACAAAACACACAAGCAGCTCTGATTGAAAATTTACGCAGGTCAACAGGGACAGCAAGAAGAGGAGTTAAATTCTTATTTCTATTTATGGATGCTTTACACTTCATGATCATGGCTATTTATAGCCTAATTCTTGGATTCTTAACAGTTAAAATCATAACGGTTAACAACTGACTTACAACCGAATTTCTAAATGTTTAAAAAATCTAACCACTTAGGGTTCTTACCAACCAGCAACTCTGCTTAACTCTTGTAAACAAAATAGTATCAAATAATCACGCAAAAGGCCGAAGATGACCGAACCACACATCGAAGACGCCATAGAATTCTAACAATTTTGCATAAGAAATTAAATTAGATTAAATTTTAATTAATTGAAAGTAATAGTCTTAAATTCGGTGATTTCAATAAGCCAAACTTGACTTTTCCTCTTCACCACCTAAAGAAAGAGTAAACTAAAAGCTGCAAACAGAGAAAATCAGAGAGAGATAATGATAAAGTGACCTCACCATCTTTTTTCGTCTGTGACGATCCAGCGCAGCCCATTCTCTAGCTTATGATCTTTAGGAACAAGCAAAGGAAAGCTGAATTAGATAGAGAAAATTAATCAGAGCAAAAATGGAAGGTGTAGAAACTTCATTGAAACAAGTCAAAGGAGCTGAGGTTTATGTAATGGAAGGAGATTTTTCCGGTGGAGATCACTGCGGTTTCTCCGGTGAGTTACAAGGATGCATCGGTCAATTATTCTGAGATTGTCGATGGTTCATTACAGAATACATAAAGATTTCTTAGTATTGTGTACATACATATATATAATATGTATATATATATATTTGCTTGTAATAAATATATTTTTTTCTTTATTTAAGAAATTTAACATAGTTGAGAGATGAGACTTGGGAAGACGAGGTGGTTGGCTCTACGCTCCTTGCTCGTGTCGTTTCACTTTTTCTCGATCAGGTGCGGTAATCTCCATGTTATGTAGCCAACAGATCTCTGCCATGTCATCGCTTTTAGGTTCTTCCACGTGACAGGATAAATATATTTTTTTCTCAATTTTTTTTAAATATAATTATGAGTTTGATTTAAATTTTTATAAAATAAAAACATTATATAAAATAAAATAGAAGTTTGGTTTAAGTATTTTCGCAATTTATCAATTGATAAATAATGTGAATATAAGTTTATTATTATAAGATTAAATATATAAGAAAAATAGTCAAATTACGGATAAATTTATAAATTATAATTAATTTTTAATATTAAATAAATAAAATTTATATATATTTTTACTAACTATTAATTTGAATATTGTTGAATTATAATGAAGTGATTATTTTTTAATATATTTTAAAGTAAATAAATGATTAAACAAAATGAGTTAGATGAGATAAGGGCAGGTAGCATATTATGCACTAATATAAAAGTTACCCATCTGGTAGAGATAATATTAATTTAAATTTGTTCTGACATGACTAGTACAATAAAATTATTTATGCTTATATGATCTGCTAATTTTTTGAA